TTTTAATTATATTTCACAATTATATGTATCATCATCGATCCATTGATGAATATATATAGTTTTTGTACACGGAACCAGATCAGCTTCAAAATGCTCCACCAGCACATCAAGTCTGACGCATCAGCTCTCTTTAATTTACTCGGTAAAGTTTAGCCTTCGGAGCCGCGTCCAGTGCAAGATCGATGACAGGTTCTCTCTGAACTATATATATTTGGCTTGTAGAAAAACGAAAGTTGATTACTATTTTTACTGCTAAGAATGCTTACCATAAATTTCTATATACTGATACTGGCCTCAAGATCAACGAATAGAAGATCCATGGAGCAGAAAATGAAAACAAGGGCGTGACTCATTCACTGATGGAAAAGCTTCTTTAATTACGAAAAAGATAGCTGAAGACAATTACATCCAATCTACAAGCCAAATCGATCCACTAGCTCAAGGTCGTCCGTATCAGGGCTGGACATATATAATACTGCGCATGCATTGTTTCTTGCAAAGCAATTGCACGCATTCTTCATCCCTGGCCATGTGGACAAAGAAATATATATTGCAAGAACAATAATGCTCCACAATCATTCTAAAAGCCGATGACAAATTATTAGTACCAGTACTGCTTTAACTTTCATCTCACCTTTTTCCTTCTTCTTGTGTTCAACGACGGATCTAAAGATTCAGTTAAGTTTTTTTTTTTTTTTTAATGTGTTTGTGTGTATACATATAGTCAAATCATAAGAAAAAAGCAGGCATCTTAAAATTCATGACCGACCGCATATTAGCATGTGAGTTGGAAGAAATAAGAAAATTTAAACTAGAAATATTCTTTCCTTCTAATTTATTTTTTTAAAATTAATTATTATCGGCTAACGTAGTAGCTCATTGGAAGATTCAGACAAGTTAATAATTCTAAAAATATATACAAAATATTTTCTCTGAGTTTAATATAATAGATAATTATGAGGTGTTTGAGAATGAATTCCAATCTTTTTTTTTTTATTAAGATTTGATTTTTTTTACTTTAAATTACTTTTTTACTTTTTTTAATTATTTTGATACACTGATTAAAAAATTTATTTTAACATTTTTCTGACAAATGAAAAATAAAGTGATTATATGATCTTTGATCTGTTTACAAGATTTAATGTTTTAAGTAAAGCAAATTATAAGGGATTCAAATTCATATGGTCTCAAATTTATGATTTGTTTCCGTAAGATGTCAGGTTTATTTAAGTTAAAAGGTCCATTCAATAATCTATAAGAAATGGAAGCATGACAAAGACGGGGATGAGTGTGATGACGAGGGGTCTACTTGAACTGCTGGGAAGTTAATTACTCATAAAGCTACTCGATGAGGTCCAACGCCCATAGCTATTTCAGTCTAGGAGCACTATTAATCATATTTTATTCAAATTCATCATTAATAACATCAATTGTGGAGATATAATTGGCAGGAAAATAATTTTGGGCCTGTAAAAATTTTAATCATCAAAATATTTTGATTTCTATAGAACTCTAAATTCAATTGTGTATTTGTGAATGTAGTTTTTTAAGCTATAATTGGGCTTGCAGTTGTGGCAGCTCAATGCTGCATTCTCCACGCAATAAAAACGAAATCATGATTAGTCCGGTTGTCTTCTAGCTGTTAAATTATACTGATCGATGTCAGTGAAAGAATTTCATTGACCGATGCCAGGAATGTTGAACTGGTCAACAAAATGAACGGCCATGATGATGAAGATTGGCCTGCCAGGGTTGTATAATGAAAGGACTCGATTCCTCGAAGGAAGATTTCGAACACAGTATCGAGGCATATTTTGTACTCGGATCGACAATTGTCCCGGAAGTCTAAGCGTAATTGCTTTTTTTTTTTTTACATTTCAAAAATATCTTTTAAAAAAAATTATAATTTTTTTTATTTTAATATATTGTTATTAAAAATAATTTTAAAAAATAAAAATATTATTTAAATATATTTTAAAATAAAAAATATTTAAAAATTAATCATTATCACAATCTAAATAATATAATCTAAATAATATAAATAAGTGTGTTTGGAAATGCGATTATTTTTTAAAGTATTTTTTATTTAAAAATATATTAAAATAATATTTTTATTTTTTAAAAATTATTTTTGATATTAATTTATTAAAATAATATAAAAAATATTAAAAAATTAATTTAACATTAAAAAATTATAAATTAAAATTTTTTAAAAATTACTTTTAAAATGCAAGAATAGATAGGATCTAAGGCGTAATGATAAGACATGACGCAGGGTACTACATCATGAGGATCCTCAATCACATTTCAGTATCTTACTGGACTGAGGTAGAGCATGTACAAGGTACATAGTTGTAATAGATGCAAACATGTGGTTTGCTTCATTTCTTTGCGTCTTTCAGGTTTCTTTCAGAATGATTATGGCTGGCCCGTGTGGTAGTGAAGTTCCAATTACAAGTGTGAAAATAAAATAAAAAAGTTCTATCCGACGAGCTCCCTTTTGTGCTCATTCTTCTAAATCTAACCATATTAATTATTATTAATCTTTATAAAATATATATAGTTAGACTTTTGAGAAAAATCTTATAATAGTTTGCCTTTCTCACATACATTTTAGTTGTGAGAAAATGGGTGTTTGGATGAATTTATCATACAATTAAAAAAAATATTATATTTTTCATTATATATTATACAAATTGAGGTTCTCCTGCTATTTCTTTGTCAACGTCAAAATCTAGGATGACTAAGTGAGTGGAGCTAATTGTATACACAGATAAACCAACTTAACAAGAGATCAATGGCTGGATTTGATTTGGGATCTCATAATGAATCATCTCTTTGATTATTATTTAAACCATTAAATCAATTTCTTTTCCTACTAGGATAAAAAAAAAATTGGATTTTAGCCGAGATTAGAAAATGGGCAATGCAAAATTGGGCCATTAATATAGGTGAAATTTGATCATTGCTATAGATTATGATAACAAATGACGATAGCTATAAACTAATTAAGCGAACACCCACTCAATGCGTCGTCTTAAGGATGTTTATCGTTTATTTAGGCTGTATTAACCTAAGCACTGTTGAAATTTAAGTTAAACACATTAATTAACAGGTTGCAATTGCACTCAAATTAATATAGCAGGAAAGAATAGTTTATTTATCCCATCAAGGATTCCGAAACAAATTGTCAACTAATTAATAAAAGGGGAAGGTAATTAAAAAGAAAAAAATTCTATTATGTTCAGGCTATAATTACCAATATTTATAGCACAAAAGAGATAACTATAAGAAAAAAATAAAAATAAAAATAAAAATAAAAATAGGAGATGTATTTTTATACAGTGGAAGAGAATTATGCCAAGGACGGCATGAGGTTGGATGTGGGGATAGCTAGCGGTGTAGTGTCTGCCTTGACCAATGGCCAAATATGGAAAGGGATTTAGTGTTTTAGTTGTCTGAATCGCTGTGCACGGACCAAAACCTTACATTCTGTTTAAGGAAAAACATCATACCATTTGACACCCAGACAATGTCGGGAACATGCAAACCATCAGGTTTTGGGAAAAGAGCGTCGTATCCAATGGCTCTCTCACCTCTCATTTGTGCATATGATATCATGTAAACATGCCATCATGATTGAAATAACAATGCATTAGTCACATTTTCTTCTCAAAAAGTTAACGATGTCAATTCCCATCGTCTTCATAGATCCAAACAAAAGCTCGGAGCTTTTTCTTCGACATAACCCCACATATATTCAACAGAAGTATATAGGAGCAGTGCTGCCTATTGGATCTGAGCTGCTTAAAGAACGACTAATTTCGGCCCCCGCTCCACCCAAATAGAAGAAGAAGAAGAAGAAGAAGAAGAAGATAGGGATCTGCTTACATGTGCGATTTGTAATTTGATATTAAAGAGTTTTGATTCTAAAGACAAGAACATGAGTCTTAGCAAACCTCATTTATTTTCAAATAAATTTCAGCACAAACTTAAAGCCTTATATATAGAGGCATCTTAATTAAGAAATGAAAACATTCTCTAATCTCACCTGACAATTTGAGTTTTTTATTGGACATCTTTTTACATACACACGCATGCACCATAATTCATGCAACATCATGCAATCTGACTTTAGTATTATACAATATAAATAATAATGTTTGATGATGTTGGCAACCTCCTGGAGATTGGATCAAAGTTAATACAGGTGGGGCTAGTAGGGGCAACCCACTGCTGGTTGTATTGTTCGGGATGGCAGTGGTATTTGGCTAGCTAATTAAGGATTTGAGCTTAATTGTGCCGGGGGTTCATTTTCCCCCCTCCTGTTCGTCCTGGAGCTGCTGATATGTTAACTCAAGATTCAGGTGGGAGTGGCTTGATTGTGGTGCTAAGGCCCCTTTAATTACCAGAAAAGAAAATGATGTTGGCAACCATCCAGCATGAAACTAATTTTCTAGTAATTGCTTGCTTTTGGTTCGCAGCTTAAACAGCTTAGAACTCCTTCGCTAGAACAGGAAGACCTAATGTCATTTTATTTGTCATCCACCTCTTAATTTTGTTCTTCTTTCATATCGTCTTTTTCCATGAGTACTAAACAGCGTGATCGGTCTTTGATCTATTTAGAATAATCACAAAATAGTATAATATCCACCGGGGAGTTTTACCATCTTCCATTTTTAATAAGATCAACTCCTTTTGTTGACCTAACAAGAACCACAATCCACATTAACTACATAAAAAATTACAAAAACGAAATAGAAACAATAAGAAGAATTAAGAAATGAAAAAAATATAACATTTTTTACTGGATGAATCATCAAAATTCTCAGTCACACACCCACCTTTTCTCTCTCATTCTTTCTCTCTAAAGCAATGGGAGATATCGATCAGAAATCTAAACTGAAGCTATAAGTATATACAATATAAAAAAAAACGAGATTTTTCTTTTTCAATGAAAGTCGATAATAGTATTAGAAAAGGTACCAGCCAGTAAGAGAATGGCTAATGGCTACTAAGACAAAAAGTTACACTAGCTTAAACCATACAATATGCTGACAGAAAATCTAGATAACATAATAAGAATCATGATTAAGAGAAAAAAGGAACTTGATAACAGAAAATAACATGTGAAAAGTAGCAGGAAAATGCGTTTCTAGATCAGGGAGAATATTAATTTGCTTTGGAATCTAACATCTTCTGAACTTCTTCAAGAAAACTTCTGGATTAGCTACTAAACATAATGCATCTTATAATACATGATCGCAAACTGGTGCAACAAGCCAATTGCAAGCTTCCAAGATCAAACGTGTTAATTTGTGTTGACAAGGCTGCACAAGTTGATCACCTAATTAAGAGATCCCAGTCGAAGTTCCAAATCCAATTCATCCTTGGAGTCACGAACAAGACCAATCTCCAAATCTAACCTCACAATCTCAGCCTTCTTCCAGATCTTGAATCCATCTTGTTGCGTGAAACCACCAAAGTTTTCAGTTGTGAAGAAGGATTTTCTGGTTCCGGTTGTTGTTAAATCAGAAAGTTCAGAGCTTGAAGGGTCAAGAATGGTACCATCAATGGTCCATTTCTTGACTTCAGAAGCTAAAGGTGGTGTAGATAGTGCAGAAAGAGGAGGAGACACCAAGGATGGTAATGTGCGAGTGAATGGAGGACATAAACTAGGGTTAGGGCTAAGGTTCGGAACAGGACACTGAGCGTCCCTTGGAGGTGACCTTCTTAACCTGGCTCTATCTCTCCTATGAACATTCATGTGACCGCCAAGAGCTTGAGGAGATTTAAATTCCCTTCTGCAGAAGCTACACGTGTACGATCTTGGAGGCCATGAAAGACTATCAAGATAATCTTCTCCAAAGCTTTGGCAGCTGCTAAGGTTCCATGAATCTCTGAGTTTCTTGTTGCTGTTAGTGTTGTTGCACGCTTCACTGCCAATACTATGATCTTCCAAGCTGCTGCTAAAACTGTTCCTCTCCATGAGTTCTTTACGGTTCGGTCAGACCTAGCAAGATAAAAAAGACAACAGCATTCTAGCTCAAATCAAGTCAATTTATAAAAGCAAACCACGATAGTAAGAAACCCTTCTCTCAAAAGTTAAAGAGTACAAAAGAAAGAGATGGAATGAAAGAGGGAAACAAAACTGACCAAAAGATGTAGTCTATGGAGATGATCTAGACTTGGGTTTTGGGTTTGAGAGAGAGCGAGAGGAAAAGCGGAGTGATTAATAAAGTTGGAGCAAAGAGCACATCAAATTCTGAACCAGAAGCTGAAAATCCCCTTGAAGGTACTCATCCCCAGAAAAGTGCTCCTGCTCCACATGTTTTGGCCACTGCTTGCTATATGTACTGGAACCTCGGCCTGCCAGGTTATTACCTTTATGCCGAATCTAGCTCGAGTTATTGGATGCTCTTCACTTGTCATTAAATTTTACTAAAGTACATACGAGTCTAATTTTTGTGCAACAAGTGTAATGAAAACTGAAGAGGGATCATGTATAGATGGGCACAGCTCAACATGCCCAATGACTTGTCTGGATATAATTGGTTGAATTAATTTAATGAAACTAGCTAGGAAGAGAGAGAGGAGGCCTTGTTGTTTGCTCATCACCACCAAAATGGGTACCCTAATAGCGAGGAAGACAAAATTCTGTTTGTCGATGATCGTATCCCAAGGCTACCACTACTTCACGAGATCCTAATTAATTACCCTCTTTTTTTTCTCCCTAAGCATTTACCCCTTGTTCAGAACAATTGCTTTTGTTTTTTTTAATAATATAATCGTTCGGGATCAATATATTGATTTTTTTCGAAACAATATATAAAATTGAAACAAATATTAAGGGCAAGTTATATGTCCTCCAATTAAAGGTCGTCAAAGATATCCCTTTAGTTTTATTAATATATTATATGGACCTCTTATTAGTAGCCACCCCTTGCTTGAACCTTGTTAATTATATATAACCTGCAGCGGATACTACCATATCTCATCAACAAAGAAAGAAATAAATAATAATAATTCGATAACCATAGCAGAGCATGATAAATATTCTTCATAGAGCTTAAGATTTTCAAGATCCTGGGTAAAATATACTGCAGAAAATGGTAGCAAAAGGAGGGGTGATGGATGCTCCTACAAGAGCATCTTTTGCACCCCCGATGATGGGACTACGTTAATTAATGGAAACTAAATTTTCACGCAGCCCGACTTTTGCCTAATTCATTCAAGAATGAATGCAGTATTTGCTACAATCTCTCTTTCCTTGCATTTTATTTATTCATCTAGTTTTTCTCTTTACTGGACCCTTGCAATTTGTTTATCTTTTGCACATTCGTGGGCAATAGTTGGAAGTATAGTTGCTACAGTGTTCATGAGAATTGCAAGTAGCCAGTTTCATTTCATTCCAAAAAGCTTTGATTTGCACAACTCCATCTACTTCAAAGACAGGTTATCTCAGTGCAGCAAGATTTGTTTTCCATTTTCAAGTGAAAAGAAGGTGGAGTTTTTTCAGAGAACCCATATGGACAAAAGATTGTGCCACATTTAGCATAGCTTTCTTGAAAGAATAGTGGCCAGTAAGGGAGCCTGTGGTCTGCTATATATAGCTGTGATGTTGTGAGGTTCAACAGCCGAAATTGCAGGGTTTACCCGCAGTGCAATCCGGTGCCGTCTGCTCCACTCATAATTAAAGATCGAGCGCCACACCAAAAAGGTTTGTTTTTTTTTTTTTTTAATAATGATCAACCAGCTCTAACGATTTAGTTACCATGTTTATCAATGAGGGGGGGGAACAAAGGAGAAGAATGCCTGGTCCAATGCTAGATCAAATAAATACTGTATTTAATTGTATTGAAGTTGTAAAAAATTCCCAATTTTTTTTTTAATAATTTAGGTTTTAGAGTAAAAAATATATTTTTTCAATCAAAATTTTCTCTTTTTCTATGTGTATTTTTTTTTGTTTGACGAAATCATGATTTTTTCTTTATATGGTCTTTTGAATAAAAACTTAAAGCAATTAAAATGATTTAAATTTAGGAGAAAAAATGTATTTCTTTAATAAATTATTGAAAAATCAAGTTGTAGGACATTCAAACCCAAAAATCTTAATTTTTAACTCATTTCACTTAAAAACATTTAATTTTTTTAAGAATTTCAATGACTTATCCTATTCATAATCTTAAAACATCATCTAATTAGTCTAAAAACTAAAATTCAAATCAAATGAAAAAATAATTATGAGTCTCAATCAATACTTTCCAGCATAATTAGAGATTCAAATACTTCCATTAAATACCTCTAGTCAGGTGGAACTTATATATATATATATATATAAGGTTTGTCTATTTTTGTATTTCAGAAATATTTTTAAAAAATAATAACATTTCTCTTAATATTTTAATTTATTTTTATATAAAAATTATTTTAAAAAATAACCGTTATTATAATAATTTATAATCAAAACATGAATATCAAGAACTTGAAGAGTCTAATATATATATTAAAAAAAAATTAAAGAATAAAATTGTAATTTTATGGTTCTCGAACACTAGAACCTTTGAATTGTCGACGCATTAGTTATAGCGAGCCGCATTGCATTTGTCTTTGTGATTACAAGAGCTAGCACACTAAATCTGCTTTGATTATAATTGTAATATTTTTAACATGGTAATCAAGATTAAAGCATGCTTGACTTAATTAATTATGGCTGAGCCAACGTTGAAAGAGTGGCATATCGAATTTGGTAAGGGCAGTACTAGGATTACTTAATGTCCCTAAACTTGATCGACTTGATGTCATCAATTAAATATTTATAAAAAGAAACGGAACCGATTCACGAGCATTTTCAGTTTTGTCGAAAGCTATCAATATATATACATGTGATAGCTAGCATGAACCTGACTGGAAACCCTACCAGCAGAACAAAAGGCATACTGACATAAAGCAACTCTTTCTAGTTTTGCTTTCATATTCGAACTTAGATCCCTCCGAGAGTTGAGCCACATCTCAACACGCAAAACACAAAATAGCAGCACTGTTTTACTTTTTATATCAATACTAATTAAGAAATCAAACATTTTATGCACCAGAAATCAGAAGCTTGAGATGCCAGAATTCCATCTTCCACAAAAAGTCAGTATATTGATGAAAATCTCTCCATTGGTAAATGAAGCGGAGGCTTTAAATGCATCAGAAATCAAGTTCTCTTGCTTCTTCGTTGGCACCATTCGTTCCTCTCCATCAGTCTTCCCTCCTAAGAGACCAATTATAATTCCCACACATGCCTTCAATGGATTCACCTCCAAACGATCCTGTTTCAAAACCGAATAATATTTTGGGTCAGTAGGGAAACTGGGTCAAGCTCGAATTCTTCTTCATTGAAGTTCCAGCCACTTATCCTTCTAAACTTCACATTTTGAACCCCAGTGTCACCCTCTATATCCTCGTGATCCTCTTGTTCTTAAATACCATTACCAGCCTGGCTTGACATCCCATACAAAGCCTTAACACTTGGCAACCCATGGAAAACATTCTTGACCAAAAAGTCTAATCCTTAACAGTTTTTGAAGAGAGAATGCTTTAAGAGCTTATCAGTTCAGGGTCTGTTTCAAGGGCCTTGATCAAGAAAAGAAGCAACCATATGACATGCACTGCCGAAACTATGAAAATTGAGGTTGAAAGGAAAACGATATTGAGATGAAAAGGGCTGAGAGAAATCCATGATGTTATAAAAAGTTTTACTATAAAAGAGAAAAACTGAATAATATTATGAATAATCAAATCTATATTGAAATAACTCATAAGCCGGGAAAAATTACTAAATATGATAAATTTCAATTATTCAGAGAAATAAAAATACGGTAAATTGACAAAATTTTAGAAAAAAACAAAAATAAATATCATCACAAAATAATGTCTCTAAGTTGTCGAAAGCTGAAAAAAAATCTAGAAAAATGGAGGCCTGAATGATGGAATTTGGGGTCCAAAACAACCTCTAGCAAGCATGACTAGTTACGTGCGAAGAACCCGAAACAAGCTTTTCGAATTGGGTGATTGGTGTCATTCTAACGCCCGTAGCAAAAATTATGACCAAAATACTAAATGCGAGCAAATATCTCAAACCGAACCTAGACTACTATTTTCTACTATCCTTGCGCCGGTCTGCCCTTTCATGGTAATCCAGCAACATCAACCTCATATCTGACAGCTTAATTGCTGCAGAATCTTCTGCATCAGTGTCCATACATCACCTTCAAAGCCTTAGAAAACTTCCTGTTCCTGCAATTCTTCTTGTGCTTTTCATCATGATAATCAGAGAATCGAAACCTCTTCGTTATCTTCATGATCGAACACCTCGAAGGAGGTAGGTGAGATAAAGGAGGGCGATAATGGGCTAATTCCAATGCAACAATATAAAAAGACCATATATCATCTTTGAAACTATATCCTGTATGTGAGTGTATAACCACTGGTGCCATCCAATACGGGGTCCCTGCAGTATCAGTTTTAACCTCATGCTTGATGAGCAAGTCAAAGAGGATGATCTTTCATAGGTGTTCAATTCGTAAATGAGGCTGATACGCCAAAATTTGCGAGCTCTACTTTACCGTTCGATTATATAAGAATGTTTCCGTCCTTGACATCCGTGTACAAATGGCCTTGATTATGAAGACAAGACAATGCGTTTAGGGTTTCCTTGAGAACTATATAGCAATGCATGACTCTGGAAGACCATCAGGGAAAGAAAAGTAGATTGTGGATTGAAGAGAACCTGCAGACATGAAAGGCATAACCATCCAAAGATGGCGATCAACAGTGAAAGAACAACGAGATTCAAGAATGTTAGGGAGTGAAAGAAGTGACATGGTCTTGGTTTCACGTCTTAGACCATCCAAATCGGCTCGAGATTAATCCAGATCAAAGCATTTGATAGCAACAAGAGTTGAGTTCATGGGGACACATGTTGCCTTGTAAACTGTGGCACTAAAACGAACACCAATCCCGTCCAAGATAGTGTATGCTTTTGAGTCGAGTATTGAACCCTTTTGGATATTTGGTCTAGTACGTGAGCCATGAAGCCCGTTATGGTTTTGTCATGACTGAGTCTCGAGAGAATCTTTTTGTTTTGTTGATTTGGGTGTGGTGTCTTAGGGAGCTTGACAATACGGAGAGTTTATTTTGGGAAAGAAAGACAAGGGAAAAAGGGGAAGAAAGTAGGTATTTTGCAGGCGGTTTTGTAGTGGTGTTTCAGGTTTAAAAGGGAGAGACGCAGTTAGAGCGTTGATCGATCATACTGTAATGAAAAAAGAGCCAGAGGATGCATGTGAACACAGGACTGCTTTTCATATGTTCACTTTTCTACAAATCGCTCAATGTAGCTTGGATCTTGGACCACCAATGACTTGCAATTTAATGTTGTTCAGAGCTAGAATAATAAATTCATAAAATCCTAAACAGATAAAAGTCTTGTGCAATAAGTAGCAACTAATTAGTAGAGAATCAAACCAGAGGATGCCCTGCATCTCCAGAAAATGCCCCGCT